ATAATTGTCTGACAAGTAAGTCTCAGTTGAATGATAGTGAGTTAAACCACTTGCTGGCTCTACTTATGTTGGGATGAATAAGTATGTATAAATATTTATTAGCAATTATATGTATTTTTTTAACTTCTTTCAAGATGAAAGAGTACAGTTGTGTTTGGATAAACAAAACCTTTCCCAATTGTTTCTCAACCTCAATGAATAATCTCCATTGGTTAGTGTTTTCCATCGTTTATCTAACTTAACAAACTGGCTAATGAACCTTCATTTTCTTTGTTTTTTGTAGCAACTCCTGGACCAATTCAGAAAATACTGTTTGACAAAATAACTGCAACAACAATAGTGTTTAGTATTGTTCCTCCTATAGACGATGGTGAGATGCCAATCAAAAAATATTTAATGGAGTATAAAGAAGACCAAAAAACAGAAAATGATATATATAGTAAAGAATGGAGTGAAGGTAAGGTTTGTCAGATTATCTGTAAACATTAACCATTTAGATTTTTCTTTACAAAAATTATTCAGAAGGTCTTAAATTTTGTTCAGCCCTGAAGTTAGTAGTGACCCACCATAAAAGCACTAATAGTGATATGACCTATCGTGTGTCATATCACCTGCACACAAGACAGAATGTGCTTTTACATTAGTGGTTATACCATGGATGTCTTTTTTTGCAAAATTGATAAACATCAATTTGCCACATCCATGCACAGTAAAAAAAGTAAGTTGTTAATTTTCAGAGGGCATTTAGTAATACAACTACAGTTTCAAAGTTATTGTGTAATATAATTACTGTCTTGAATTTTTTTCCCAACAATCTAAATTAATATTTTTTCGATTTTGTAAACAAGCTGTAATTAATGTCTAAATGTAAGTAAAGGACAGTTCTTTGTTTTTGAAATATCAGTTATCATACAGTCATATCAAGATTTGTATTACTATATATTCCACCTGACATGTATAAAACAAACTTCCAAAATAAACAAAAGTCCTAACAAACAATCTCACCTTAAATATGCAGCAATTACAAAACTAATGACATACTATGCATATTTTATGTTAACATTAATTAATAAAATATCTGTTTTCATTAATAATTTTGTTAAAGCACCACTTCTTCAAAAAGTAATAATATTTTTATGTTCTAAAACTATGTATTTGTAAACTACATTGCTTATTCCCAGGGGGACTTCTCAGTTGGAGCAGAACCAGCCTATGCAGGATCCTCCTAATAATACCAGGTTTGGGATGATACCATCCTGTTCCTATAGTTGTTTGCAATATAGGCCCCCTTCTTATTAATTCCAGTTGCAGATGGTTCCTTCCTCACTCCTACGGTTGAGTTTGGGATTTTCATCTGCTCGTAATACTGGCAACAGGATGTACATACACTGTTCCTACAGTTGAGTGAAAGTTCCATATTTTCGTTAAAATTCTGGAGGCAGGATGTCTCTTTTCTGCATTTACAGTTGGGTGAGTTAAGATTTCTGGTCATAATTCCAGTTGCAGATATTGCCCTGTTTTTACAGTTGAGTTCAGACAACACCACAATCCCATAATGCTGAGTTTGTTTTGTTATACTACTTGCTCCTACTGCAGTTTTGGGGGTTTGTCTTGTTTCAGCCACATTACTAACTTCCTCTTCATAATTCTAGTTGCTTGACATATGACACTCTGTTTAAGTACGGTTGGAGTTTACGTGAAAATGTAACATGGTCCACATGCTGTATAGCAGCAATGCTTACATTACTCCATATTAATTTTTATCTGATTGATCTTCAACCTCCTAATGTCAATGATGAGTTGTGGAACTTCATCTGTCCAGTTGAGGTTGGGTATATACAAGTCAAGTTGTTCTTTACTATGAATTGCACCTCTCAGAATGAATTACACTTATGTACTTTTTTTTCTTTTTTTTTCTGCCTGTATCAGGTTCATTTGCTACTTCCAGGCAAAGAACATACATGTTCCAGAAGTATTGTGGTGCCCCACATGTGATGCTTTGGTTCTTCTTGGAGCATTCACGTTCATTCTGGGTAGCCACTTTCTGCTTAGTTTCAGTGTTGTGTGCCTACACTGGCCCCTCCACCTTTGCAATATGGGATTCCGGCTTTGAGTGTATTTCTGATAAGTATGTACCTCCTCTCACACACTTCCCATCCTTCCTCTCCACTGCCAGTGTCATTCTTTTAGATCCTGCCAATTCTCGAAAGTGAGGATTGGGTAGGAATAGCAGAGGAAGCTAGCTGTGCCAATATAGGTAGCACAATACTATTGGTGGAGAGTAATCACATGATATGTACATGTTCAGTAGTGACACGAAATTGGTGTGTTATATAGACTGATATAGCATGAAAAGTGTTTTAGCACTGCTTAGAGGGCAGAAAGAAGATGAAGATAGCTTTGTGTGTTATAAGGTAAGTACCAATCAGAAATACATTTTCAGTGTAAGAAAATGTTAACTTTTATTCTACTGGAAACAGTAACATGAGCTGCACCCGTGCCACATGATTGCAACTGTTTTAATGTTAGTCAGACACAGCTAAAATGTCAATAAAATATAAATAGATGTATGATATTATGAGATTTAAGCTATTTAGAATAAACATTTATGGTTTCCTGTTAGAATATGTAGTCATTCTAGAACGAAAAAGCATAAGTTAGATATATTTCTTAATTTGTTATGATGGTTATGATGTGCATCAATTCGGCCAAACCTGTAGAGAGATAACCAATCAGCAGCTCAGAATTTCTCAGCCTTTGCAGGGTGTTTATGCATGAAAAACTATTTTTTTCTTTCCAAACTCAAAAAGAAAGGGTAAGATGAAACTGTGATCCAAAAATATTCTTTTAGACCTGAATACAGCTCAGTTAGTAAGCCTGACAAATTACAGTGGAATTCTGTGGTGTTGGTATAGTAATTTATAATTTTTTGTTATTCAAAATGCATATATAAAACCTAAAAAATTATTTTGTTTTACATCCTCCATGTGGGAAATTTTACAAGGCTTAGCAAGCACGGTATGGCAAGCAAGTGCAACCTTCATAACAATAATAAATAGTAGAGATCATTTCCCATGTTTTATGTTTCCAGAAAAATAATTGAAATTTAAGAATTTATTTGTAAATAGTAATAAAAATAAATATAAACAGATGTATAATGGTATGAGATTTAAGCTATTTACAATAAACATTTATAGTATCCAGTAACAATTTGTAGTCATTCCAGAACAAAAAAAACATAATTTAGATTTATTTCCTAATTTTTATGGTGGTTATGAGGTCCGTCAATTCGACCAAACCTGTACAGAGATAAGATAGAGAAAATGAGTATTAAGATATAAATTTTTTCTAAAAAACATTTGATAGTTATATGGAGGCTATAGAGATCATGAAAATGAAATTTGACAATTTTCTGATGTGTAATTTTATTTTGTAACTTTAAAATGTTGGGTAGTCAACATTTGAAAAGAAAAAATACACAATCAAATCTTTTATTAAAAAAATCTGATATTTTATATGTGAAAGCCTTGTAATGTTTACTGATAATCTGCAAAATTTTGTGAACATATACATACATTATAAAAAGTTATAGTATGACTGCTCTCATGGTCACATTTGGTTACTAGATAGGTGGATCCCACACTCAGCTCATAGTCATGGAGTTAATGCCTCAAGTCTGGCAGTGATGTTTGAGCCAAATGGTTTTCTAAAGGTTGTTGTGGGCTGGAACAGACATGCAAGTTATTGTAGAAAATTCCCAATGGTTAAAGTTTCTCACCATGGCTAAGGTTTTTTCCTGTTATGATGATATGATAGATGTTGATGCTCTGAAACAGGTTGCTTCAATGATGGACCTTCATTTGTAATTAATCCAAACATCTTCCATCATTTAGAAAGGAAAGTGAAAGGATATCAATTACCTTTGACCAGCTAAGTACATTTGTAAAGTAAGATGACTGGAAGGTTCAATACTTTGGTCTTATACAGTGAAAGGCACAGTTGAGAATGCTTGTTCAACTCAGTTTCTGACAGGTCAGAAGTTCTGTAGGGTTAAAAGCTATAATCTGGAACTTACAACCAAAATCTCCTTCATGAAATTTTAGATATGTAGTGTTCATACAATATTGTTGGTCAAGTATCATTTCTACAGACATGCCTAAGAGAATGTATACTAAGGAGCTGTGAACATTATGATCCAACATCTTTCATATGGAAATCATACTACCACATCTCCTGCTAGGCCATAGCAAATGTTGGAAGTTAACGTGACTATCTAGTAACACCTCCAGGAGATGGGAGAAGGGTTTTGTCAAAATGAGGCTTGGCACACCTGAGGTTGCATATTAGGAAAATATGGCTGTGTTATGACAGCAGAAGTCACGTGATGCTGGTGACACGTTATGAGATTCTAGAATGATCATGAAGGCCCAAACATTTTCTAGGCACCCTCTATTTTAATATATAAGCCCAGCAAATAAAGCAGAGAGAAGAAGTGATGGCATAGATAATTGCAGATAGGGAGATATAAAGACAGATAAACGAGTCAAGCCGTAAGTAAAGTGTGTAAATCGTTGTGAAT